ACACACACAAACACACTCTCCCATCTGGAAAGTGAGGGAAAGGAAATGGGGGCTTTAACATTTCCCATAATAACCTTCAATGCTATTTAAATTTCCTTTTTAAAGTAAGCAATATTATTTTTATACTTTTCAAAAATTTCAACCATATGACAAAGGTGAATTTCATTCATCTTTATAAACTCAGGGTACTCTCCAATGAATTAGATCCAGGAACTTCAAAAAGCGAACATTTCTTCACAAAATTCTCTCTTTCAATACCTCAAAACTGCTCACATTCCTCATCATAAATACTAGTCAGAAAAGCACTAAAAACTTCAAAAACCAAAACTAATGTGGTATTTTCAGTTTTATCACTCTTAAAATTACTTTTGCTCAATCATTATTACAGACAAGCACACTTAACTGATATGCTGAAACTTGTACTATTCTTAGCTATACAACTGTTTGTAAGCAGTAACACACAGATCTCAAGCCAAAGACAGCCCAGGCAAAATTAACACAGGAAACAAGGATGTGGAGAAAAAGGAGCCCTCTTACACCACTGGTTGGCACACAAACTGGTACAGGCACTCTGGAAAACAGAATGGAAGTTCCTCAAAAAGTTAAAAATAGAACTATTCTATGATCCAGCAATTGCACTCAATACTAGGTATTCACCCAAAGGAAAAAAAAAAAAACCAGATTCAAAGGGGTACATGCACCTCGATGTTTATAGCAGCTTTATCAACAATATTTAAGCTATTGAAAAAGCCCAAATGTCCATCAATTGATGAATGGATAAAGATGCGGTATACGTATACAATGGAATATTATTCAGCCATCAAAAACAATGAAATCTTGCCATTTGCAAGGATGTGAATGGAGCTAGAGTTTATTATGCTAAGCAAAATAAGCCAGTCACAGAGAAACAAATATTATATTATTTCACTCATATGTGGAATTTAGGCAACAAAACAGATGAATGTGTGGGAAGGGAAGAAAAAAAGAGAAGGAGAGGAGAAGGCAAACCATAAGAGATTCTTAATGATAAAGAACTGAGGGTTGATGCAAGGAGGTGGGTGGGGGTGGGCTAAATGGTGATGGGTAATGAGAAGGGCAATCGTTATGATGAGCCCTAGGTGTTATATGTAAATGATGAATCACTAAATTCTACTCCTGAAAGCAATACTACACCACATGCTAAACTAGAATTTAAATAAAAATGTGGAAGGAAAACAAACAAAGATTGTCAGGTATAATGAAGTTCAAATATGCACTATGTGTACTATTCATTTATTCAGCCATTTAGCAAACATTTATTAGTGCCCACTAAAGGTCAAGTACTGTGCTAGCTGCTGGGGAAAAAACAGAACAAGACAGACAAGGTCTCTATTCTCTCAAATTTATATTCTTGTGGGGGAAAAAGCCAGAAAAAGCTTTATTCTGAAGTATGCACACGTTATTCTGGAATCACAAGTTAACATATTAATGATTACAAATGTCCTTAAATTAGGATTAAACAGAATGGCATGTGCATGTTTTTTTAATTACAGCTTAATTATTATTAATTATTTAGGAAAGCAGTGGGATTTAATTCTGAGAACTGGGCAATCCTGGAAGCATCTCTCTCTGTGGCAGGAGGTTGGAGGAGAAATAGCTGAGGACACACAAAAGCTAAAATGTACCAAGTTAAAGTTTATTCTACAACAGTCAATGGGCTGAGAGCACTTCAAATGTATTAATTAGTGCAAATTCCACCATAATCCCAGTCAGAGTATTATGTTCATTTAAGATAAGAAAGCAAACTAAGGGGGCACCTGGGTGGCGCAGTTAAGCATCTGCCTTCGTCTCAGGTCATGTTCCCAGGGTCCTGGGATGGAGCCATGCATTGGGCTCCACAAGGAACCTGCTCCCCCTGCTTGTGCTCTCTCTTTGTCAAATTAAATAAAATCTTTTTTAAAAGGGGTGGGGGGAAGGAAAGGAAAGAAAGAAAGAAAACTAAAACAGGCTAAGTAACTTGCCCAAAGTTAACTAGTAAGATGACTGCACCAGTCTCTGAGTCCTGGCCTTCTGAAACTGAATCTAAATTCTAATCTCTGCACTGGCCTCAGTCCTAAATGGCAGCAGGCTGATGATGGAGAGGTGTGAGTTTAATCTTGTAGGCAGAGTGAAGGAAGGTTTATAAGTTGTTCAAGCAAAGCAAAAAAGGCATCTCATTAAGTCTGATGACAAAGCCCAACTTAAGAAGATAACTCTGTCCACTGCATATAATGACCTAGATCAGAGAGTAACTGAGGGTCAGTGGCATCAATTAAGAATAGTGAAGGAAGGAAGGAAGGAAGGAAGGAAGGAAGGAAGGAAGGAAGGAAGGAAGGAAGGAAGGAAGGAAAGAAAGAGTAAAGGGGTCTACGTAATTGGAAATGTTCCAAAGCTAAGAGCTCTTAGAATGGAGACTACAATCCAGCATCCTGACACCCTCCTTTCCAGGGAACATCCCTTCCTTTCACTAAACCAAGATGTTGAAAAATTTTGAATAGTAAGTGCACTGCATGTCACAACCAAACACATTTTTTAAAATTTTTATTTATTTATGATAGTCACAGAGAAAGAGAGAGAGGCAGAGACATAGGCAGAGGGAGAAGCAGGCTCCATGCACCGGGAGCCCGACGTGGGATTCGATCCCCGGTCTCCAGGATCACGCCCTGGGCCAAAGGCAGGCGCCAAACCGCTGCGCCACCCAGGGATCCCACATTTCTTTTAAGTAGGCTCCACACCTAGCGTGGAGCCCAGCCTGGGGCTAAAACTCCTTCTGAGATCATGACCTGAGCTGAGATTAAGAGTCAAACACTTAATAGACTGAGCCACCCAGGCACCCCACAACCAAACGCATTTCACCTCCATCTAGTAGAATCATACTTCCTAAACTGCGTTAGAGAACAACTGCCCAGAGAGACTCCATTAAGCCTGAGCTGGACTGACCAATTCTAACAGATGTCCTGGGACCTCAAGAAACACTCCTGTATCCTCTTGGAGGAAAGGAAGGCAATGGAATCTTGATCACACTCAAATATCATGGTTGTTTTCTTCATAAACAAACATTGCTTACCATGTGAAGCCCCCAAGTATGATGCCACGTGGCCTTTCAAACACTACCTATGATGTTACAATTTCATTTTTGCCCAATTAATTCAGCAGATGAGAATTATTTTCTGGCAGTTTCTGACTGTGTTTGGAATTCGGTGAAAAGGCATGCAGGAAGGGGTGAAGTGACAAATACCTGAAGTATATTTATACATCTCCTACTTAACCGCACTTAATCCTCAAAGCCATCCACTAAGGATGGATCAAAATCCATTTATTAGTCAGCTTCTGGTCAGTTGCTGGTAACATTTCAGGATTTTATGACTGCTCCAGGTAAGGTAGACAAATAATGCACACCCCCCCCCCCCCCCCCCCGCCATATGTCCACATCCTAATCCCTGGAATTTGCGAATAGAATATGTTACCTTCCACAGTAAAGGAAAAAAATTTTTTTAAAGATTTTACTTACTCATTCATGAGAGAGACACGGAGAGAGGCAAAGACATAGGCAGAGTGAGAAGCAGGCTCCCTGCAAGGAGCCTGATGTGGGACTCGATTCCGGAACCGGGAATCATGACCTGAGCCAAAGGCAGACGCTCAACCACTGGGCCACTCACGTGCCCGCCAAGGAAAATTAAACTGCAAATGAAATTAAGGTTGCTAATTACCTAACCTTTAAACAGGGAGATTATCCTGCATTACCTGAGTGGGTCCAAAGTAATCACAAGAGGCTTGTAAGTGGAAGAGGTAGGCAGAAGAGAAGTCAGAATGATATCATGTGAGAAAGAATCAATCTGCTGTTGCTGGCTTTGAAAATGATAGTAAGGGGGGGGGGGGGGTGGCTCAGCGGTTGGGCATCCGCCTTCAGCTCAGGGTGTGATCCTGGAGACCTGAGATCGAGTCCCAGGTCGGGCTCCCTGCATGGAGCCTGCTTCTCCCTCTGCCTGTGTCTCGGCCTCTCTCTCTCTCTCTCTCGCTGTGTGTCTCTAATAAATAAATAAAATCTTAAAAGAAAAAAAAATTTTTTTTGTGGTAACTTGTTAGAAGAGCAAAGACAAACCTAACGCAGCAGGCTTCTCCCAATCCTTGGATGTCAAGGACATTCTGTCAATAATAACTATCAACAATTACCAAATTCCAGGTAGTTTTCTCTACCAGTGTACCAGTTTTCTCTTCCAGGGCACTACCAGTCTGCGAACCGCTTGGTACTGGTCTCCAAAGACACAAGCACAGAAGTTGAGAGCGTTTATTTTTATGTAGTTTAACGTGGCCAGACATCCATCCAATCCCATGTGTGCTGCATCTAATACAAAATTGTGATCCGTATTTACGTCTATCCATTTTTGTCCTATTTTACATAGTACTGCCTGAGACACGTAGAAATTTTTGTTGTTGTTGTTTTTGGTCATTTACAGAAAAGGAAAGCAAAGCACTGACAGGCCAAATCATTTTCCCAAGTTCACAGAGATAGTAACTCTCTTTCGCCCACTCGCTGAATTAACAAACATTAACAGGGAGCCGGCCTTGCACGCCGCTCCGCAAGCTCCGCGCTGGAACTCCCGGGTATGAAGAACTCGATGGCAGAGAGCCCAGCGTCTCCTGGGCCGGTGGCGGGGGGCGGGGCCGGGGGGGACGGGGTCCAGTTCGTCTGTGAGGCCCTCCCGGGGCCGCCGCCCCCGCAGGACTCACCCAGAGGAGCGTGCACCAAGCAGGTCCAGCACGTCCACGCCGCACAGAAGCACAAGCGACGGAGAAGACTAGCGACCCGCGCTTCTCCTCCGACCGGCCCGCCTCAGCGCCAAGACACACCCCTGCTCCCAGCTCCACCCCGACGCCAGGCTCCGCCTCGACTCCCGCACCCCCCCACCCCCACCCCCACCCCCCCCCCCGGCGCCGCGGCTGCCCTCGCACCGCAGCCCGCTCCGCCGCGGCTCGCTCACCGGCTTCTCCCCGAGCTCCGCCTTCCGCCTCAGCTTCGAGTGCCGCTCCAAAGCGCTCGCGAAGCCGCCCTGGCGCATTTCAGGCTCCGTGGCATCGGGACTCTCGCTCCCTGAGCTGCTCCCGGTGCCTGTGCCTCGGCAGGGCCGACGGAAGGGAAACCCTCGCAGAAAACGGCTCTTGGCAGTTGCGGCACGGGCCCGACACAGCGCCGCCATGACGGCCCCGCGACCTCTGACCTTGGACCTCGCCGCCGGCGTGCAGGTCAGGGGGCGGAGCAACGAGGGGCCCACCCCCTTGCGGGACGCGGGTGAGGCGCGGCGGTGCCGGGGCGGGCGTCGGGGCAGCGCGTGGGCCCCGGCGTGGGAGAGATGGCTTCGCGGGGGTCAGTGAGCTTCGTCCTTGTCCTGCTGCAAGTCCCGGCCCTGCGCCGCCTGCTGGCCCGCCGCCTGGGCTTTTAGGAAACCCAGAGGGGGCGCCCGGGTGGCTCAGCGGTTTAGCGCCGCCTTCGGCCCGGCGTGTGACCCTGGGGACCGGGTCGAGTCCCGCGTCGGGCTTCCTGCACGGAGCCTGCTTCTCCCTCTGCCTGTGTGTCTGCCCCTCTCTCCCTGTCTTTCATGAATGAATGAATGAATGAATGACCGAGCCTCACGTCGGGCTCCCTGCATGGAGCCTGCTTCTCCCTCTGCCTGTCTCTGCCCCCCCCCCCCACTCCCTGTCTTTCATGAATGAATGAATGAATGAATGGAACAAACCCAAAGGGCCGTTAAAGACTTGTTTTCGGGTCTTTGCTCCGATACGAAGTTCTCCGTGATTACCGTGTTTAGAATTGGAACCCCAGACACACTCAACCGGACTCCCCGGGTTTCCTTTATACCGTTCAGCGACTCTCAGTACTGCTGCCTGGTTTATTTATGGGGTTGTGTCGGCGTCTGCGCCCCCAGCTTCGGGAGGTCTTGGTTGGCCGTTGGATCCCTGACGTGGGGCACACAGTGCGGTTCAGCGAACGTTTGTGGATTCCTGGATGCAAGGTGGTCTCTTGTCACCTCTCCTTGAGGTCAGTCCACTGATGTTCAAAAGTCAACCCTTCTGAGAGGTTTCTGTCTCCTGTAGGTAGCTCCAGTCCCTTCCGAGGGATCCCGTTTCGGAATGGGCCTAGAGAGACTCTACCAGAGACCCCCACCCTCACTCATGCTTTCCTCCCTCTTCCCCCACCGATGTTAATTCCCAGAATTAGCCCACCCGTTTCAAAATTGAGCCTAACGTCATACTTAACCGTTCACAAACTAAGCTGTCCATCCGCCCTCTACCCAGCAGTTTTATATTAATCCAGTTAGTTTAGAGGAGGAGGCGGCAAGCCCCCTTTGCAGTTCATTTGCAAGTACCTTGATAGAAGGAATTTTTATGTATGACCACAGCCCGTGTTTTAATAATACCTGACTGTGGATTTTGAATCTCTCTGATGTTCTCATCGATTGCATGGTTAGATGATACACAGAACACTAGAAGTTTACTAACCTTGGGACGGTGCCTGATTGTAGGAATCACAATTTATTACTATAGCCAACTGTAGGGTCACTGTTAGAAATTCACTAGGGGGCTTTGAGATAGATTCTACTCCAGGGTGTTCTTCTTGACACTTTAGCAGTTTATTTCTTTTGACCATTAATGAAGTCTGACCGGAGTCATTTTTGCATTGTTATCTGTGGCTATTGCTACAGATACTTCCCTTCAGGAAAAAGTGGTAAATTGTAAAGAGCATTGGCTAGTGACCTTATGAACCCCTTGGTTCTAGTTCTGACTGTAATACTGATCTCAGGCAAAACCAATGTAACGTTGATTTGGGTTCTTCACTTGTAGAGCCAAGCCATTGGGCCCCTTGCTAAATTTTAAGTGCTTTGTAAATTTAACTAAATCAATAGCTATGGAACAAATGGGATTCCTAAAGTCCCAGCTCTAAAATTCAATAGATGTATTTATTATATTCATGTCTTACCTCACCCAGATGATAAACTCCCTGAGCATTAGGACAGCAGACATTTTGGGACAGATCCTGAGGTTTTTAATGTATAAAAGCTTGTGTCAACTGACTTCAAGTTATGCTTACTTAGTTCTTTATCTTTGGTAGAACATTAGAAGTATGAATTGAGAGGGACTGTAAAGGACTCGGTAAATCAACAAGGAGATACCTACAGTTTGTCCTATACCAACACCAATTGTAACATCAGCTCTAATGTTTAACATCTTGATGGCACCTTAGGGAGTCTGATCCTGTTCTACTCCTTGCATTACACCTTCCTTCCTGCTTTATTAAAAATACAGTCCTTTTCCCCCATAGCCTGCAAGTTGTTCGGACACTTTGTAAAAATATTAGCCGTGGTGGATGGCAAGGAACGTGAACAGAGTATAGGTCAAGTCCTGGCTGCACATCTAATGGTTGTAATCTCATTTATAAAATGGTTACCCTGCCACAATCTTGAGCAAAGACTTAAGAGAAATGAGTGAAAATGCCCAACACATACTGAAAGCTTAATAAGAAGTGGCTATTAATGTCTGGATGGAGTGATTAGAAATTCATGTCTCTTAAAGCATGCATAAAAACCTAGAAAAAAGGATAGGACTAGTGATATACTTGGGAGATAATAGTATTACCCTAAAGATATTATCTCTGTGGCTGATGACTAAGATCATTAAGGAGATCATATGAAAGATCAGTAGGGACAGGCAAGAACACTTGAGGAGTGGGAAGAAGAGAATATCAGAAAATAGTCAAACTGGAAAATAAGAATGGAGAATTTTGATCCTAGAAACCAAGGAGATGACCAAAGCATGCTGAAAAGGAGAATGTTAAAGAGAAAGATCATACCCGCTTATAAATATTCCAACAACAAAATTGTGTTAGGTTTTTACTGTATGGTTGGGAGACCACCAAATTAAAAGAATCACACTACCAACCAACCTCATTCTGTATTCAAAATTCTGTAGGAGAGTTGGCAAGAAATTTAGTAACCAAGCATCATTTATGTAAATATGAAATCCTGGCCAGTGTTAGGTACAGGTAGGTCCTGCCCCTCTGGGGGCTTATAAACTAAGAGTGGGTTTCTTTTGGCTCATTCTGATTTCAGTTCATTTTAATTTCAGAGTCAGAATATGGAAATTATTTGCATAAGGTTTGTAGGCTTACTTAAAAGTGATAATGCTTTATATTAACTCTTAACATGGTCTGTGTAACTAATCCAATTACAAGGGGGCAGTCATTAATTTATTGCCAAGTGTTTCTTCGCTATGGGCAAAAAATCTGATTTTTCATCTGGCTCTTAAGAGCTGTAAAAAAACATGGGTGAAGTTGACATAGGACCTTGTGCAGCATCTCCTCTACATACATAAACAAATTGTCACTGTCAACATGTAGCTTGTTGAGTTTTGATACACTAATCCCATATAGCTACTAATGGGTTGGGTTTTTTTCCCATACCTAGGACATGAAGTGTCTGGAGAGAAGTTCTATTAATGGACTCACCTCTTTCCTTGACAGATAATACATACAAAAGAACCCATACCCAAATTACAGAATTTTTATTGTGTTCAAATACTATACAAAAAAAAAAGTACAGTGTGCATTTCGTGATAAACAGATCCAGAAACAGTGATTCCAAATTAAAGGTATTTTTGTTCTCAATGTCAGTACTTTGAGTAGTACTAAAAGGATAATCCAGTGAATTCTCTCTTCCATTGATTACTTTGGCCTCATAAACATGAGAATTCTTGCTATATCCCACAAACTCCATAAATTGAAAATATTTCTTTGTAAAAAGCGGTTAATTTGGGGATTATTTTCTTCTGTCACAGTTCTTGAACTCTTAAACATCTGAGATTTCCTTATTAGATTACTGTTTTCCTACAGTGTCAGACACAAAATTCAAAAGAATGACCAGGACCCCTCTGGTATTTTTAGTAATTATTGTGTTCCAAATTTCTTAACTATCTGTGAATTCATAATATTAAATCCTCCACAAAGACTATTTTGAATAATACTTCTAAGTCCATATGTTTTGTTTTTCTAAATTCAACCTCTTACTACTTTTTACTACTACTTTTAAGATGCAGAGTACTTTTCAATAGATTATTTAAAATAAGTATAGGCAGATGTCTGGAAAAGCAATTTTTCCAGTTTCTTTCACAACCATCACCAATAGCCACATACTCCCCATACCATTTTCCACTCCTTATTCTATCATTTCTCATTATAAAGTAGAGATCTGAATATACTTCACTCAGCTAAAGTTGAAAGGTAGTGAGAGGGCAGGACACCCAAGAAACAATGTGCTAAAAAGATGATGTTGTGATTTTTTTTTTTAAATGAAAGACTAGTTGGAAAAAAATAATTTATGTTGAGTAACCACAGTATTTCTATAAAAAGACAAATTTCTACAGATCCACTTCTTCCGGACAGTGCTTCAGCAACTGGGGCAACAGCCGTAAAGCCTCTTCAAGGAAATAATTTATATGTTAGTCTGACATGGTTAAGTGGTAATTTAAAGCAGATAGTAAAAAAAAAAAAAAAAAAAAAAAAAAAAAAAAATTTTTTTTTTTGCATAGACACCAGTTGATTATTTAATACAAGCTGTTTCCGGACCACTGGTCTCACAATAAATATTGAGACCTACACTACAGATATACAGAATTTATTAGGCTTTTTACATTTAATTAGAGCATATTTTCAGTTGCATCTAAAGTGCTATAACAAAAGCTCTAGCAATCAAGAATGGCAGCATGTTACTTAGAACAATCAACACTTGTGGCTTTTCAAATTTGGTTTTCATAAGATAATTTATCCTGAAGTAAATCTAGTCATGCTTAAAAAAAAAAAAAGCCTCAGGTCACTCCAAGCTTGGCAATTAACATTTGGCATAAACAATAATAAAACAATCACAACTTGATAAATAACAAATACGACATTATAGGCCATAACCATACACAGAATAGTGAAAAGGTAATAGTGATGAATAAGTAGCTATTAGATTATAGAGTACCTTGGCCTCCATGCAGATACTTTTAGAGGCTTTGGTTCATTCAGCCCTGCCATTTTTTCAAAGTAGGGCAACATCTACAGTATCATTTTATAATTTCTAACACACCGAAAACAAGTAGAAAACAGTGAGTTGATTTTCATTAATGCATTAAATCCTCAGGAATTACCACCAACCCCTTAGTATCAAATCTTTTCAAGTTATATTAGTCATACAATTTTGTGTGCTTATTTTTTTAAATGTTGCTAAATGAATTAAATGAAGACAGCAATGTATCCCCTAATGTGATTGATTTTAGCATTTTTACAGCTACTGAGATCTAAAAAACATTCAGGCTTTTGAATGGAACATGTGATGAGTGTTCCTATTTCAACCGACTGGTAATTACAATATGCCCGATTCAGAATGTGATTTTGCAACTTACTCTGAAACCAAAAATTCAGTCTCATGAAAAGTAAGCTGAGAGAAGTGGCATAATAACAAATACAATGAAATGGTTACTGTCACAAATGGTGACAAGGATGTGAGGGTTCTACTCTCAAGTCACCCAGGACTTTGAACCGCTGCACACGTTGTCATGGTCACTTACCAAACTATAACAAATTGGATATAGAGCGGATTTACTTAGTCTGCTGTCTCCGACAAACAAATAGAAGATACCTTCTATCAGAACAATGTTTATTCAAAAATATTTTTTTGTAGCTGGTCTTTCTTTCCTCGGAGGTAAAGAAAATTATGCCAAAACTTTCAATAACCAGGATTCAGGAAATTTTAAAGAAAATTTTAGTTAGCAATCAAATACACAGAAGTTCAAGAAAGAAACAAGAAAATCATATTGAAGACAAAGATCAAACTGGCATCCCAGATCCAGAGCAATTTTGTGAAGTAGGAAAGCAATTACGATAACCTGAAGCTTCTTAGATCATTCTAATGAGGATCCCCAGGAATTATGTGTGTTTTTATACTGATATTTCCTAAATTGGGGCCCTTAAATGCACAGTAAAGGGTGTTTCCCAGGAACAGAGGTGAAGATACTTTTATTTTGTTCAACCCACAAACTATTTGGTCAAATGAATATGTAAAGCTAAGTAAAAGCACATCTGGTAGAAATTCACAGCAATGAATGTTGACAAGATGTGCTTGGATCTTGCTTGCAGCATCTGGCAGTGGGTAGCAGAACAAAGGTAAGAACTTCACGGGCTCGCCTGCGTCTGTTCTGGAAGGGGCTCTGGGGCGGTGGCACTGGCATTTGCAGTTGAATTCAAGACTTCTCCAAAATCCCCGCCAGCCGGCTTGGTTCCGCCTACTTTAGACTTTAAAAAAAGTTCAAAAAAGACAAGACATCATGAAACATAAACTCAGCTGACTCTGCAAAAAAAGTAACTCAAATTTTACTTTGAAGAACAAATCAGTCAGGAACCCAATAGCCCAGTGACGATTATATTTGTACTGAAGTTAGTTCTGTTGCAGTGTTCCGTGCAGTTTAATAGAAAACCATGTGGGCTTCTCTGCTGAAATATTCAGATTGGTAAATTCTACCCCCCCCCCTTCTTTCCCATCTGCTCATAGTTCTTCACAGGGAAATTTGTCTGAAAAACTTTAGGACCTCTTATTCTAAAATAAATCTATTGGAAGACTCTATATTTACGTACCACTTTGTATACCATCAGATTGTTCATTCAGCTATACGCATGCAAGAAATACTGCATATAACGAAAGAAATAGATCTATTTTTCCCAGTTACAGTGTAAACTTCCTAACCTGCTGCTACTTAAAAGTGTGGTGCGAGGACTTGAGTCCAAGTGTGGACTCAACATCACCTGGGAGCTTATTAGAAATGTAGACTCAGACCAGCCTCCCCCACTCCATCTACAGAGATCTCCAGGGCTTCCTTGACAAGTTACAGTTTGTGAAGCACTACTCCAATTTATCTGGCCTGAAATTTTGTCAATAAACATTTGTCTGCAGGAATAAGTTGGCCTAACATTTGTATAAGACTTTATGCTTTTCAAAATGCTTACTATGTCACTTCATCCCTAATAACACTGATACATCTATGCTCACTCTGTTACATCTCCTTACTGACCAACAGGACAGCTAACATTAAGAAACCAGTCAGTACTTCACAGTGCCACTCAGTAGATTTAACTTGACCCTGCTCTTAGCTCAGTCTTAACTAGCTACAGACACATTAACAGTTGGAATCTAGTTGAAATTTTTTCTCACTCTCCTTGGTCTCCCATTCATAATGTCTGAATAGTTTGGAAAAATCTGTACAACTTGTGTCCCCTGTGTATTTATTAAATTTATTAAAACATATTTCTTAATTATAGGAAAATACTAAGACCCTTGCAATTCAACATGTCTAATGCTGAACCCCTCCCACAATTGGTCCCTTCTCTATTCTTCTTTAAAACTTTAAATGGCTGTAACGTCTACCTAGTTGGCCCAGTCAAGATAGCTGGGAATCATCCTTGGATCCTTCCTCATCTTGTTCCAGATCCAATCAATCACTGACTTTTTTGGCTGTCGGGTTTTCTAAATTCTAAATCTCAACACTGTCCCATCAGCACTACCTTGAATTCACTCCACCACCATCTTTGGCCTGGATTACAACTCCTTCCTCCTAACTAGTCTCCCCGAGTCCAGTCTTTCTCCCCTCAGATCTTCAGGGCACCAGTGATCTTTCTAAAATGCACAGAATACACTACCCACATTGTTTAAAATCCTTTAAAGGCTTTCCATTGCCCTAAGTCCAAATTCTTTAGTGTGGCCTACCCATCACCCTAGCTTCATTTCCTAGTCACTACCCTATAGCACAGCAAACTTCCTGGTAGTCCTCAAAAGGGCTCCAAAACTTCAAATACCTCAACCCTAAAGGCCTTCACTTATATTAGTATCCTATGAGAAACACTCTTTCCTTCCTCCTAGGCTTGATCAGACATTCCTGCTACTGGTCCCCACTGCATCCCTGAGTTTCCCTGCCATGGCACCTTACCTCTCTTTATTTTCAATGGCCATTAAATTATCTACACATCTTACAGAAAGGGTCTGTGTCTCGCTGTGGTATCCCCAGGGCCTACCCCTTGCACATGGAAAATGCTCAATAATCACAGATCGATGAATCAATCCAAAATCTAAACATAAGTGCACATAGACCTAATGCTTAATTTAATATAAATGTAATTTAGCAAAATCATATCCCAAGCATAAAACTATATTTTCCAGCTTTTTTTTTTTGGGGGGGGGGGGAGATATCTGTTTGATTAACTTTACTTTTAAAAAGTTACAAGTTTTTATCTGTATGGTGCCTAATCATGTTTCAAAAGCAAGTTTCTTTTTTTTTTTTAATTTTTATTTAGTTATGTATGATAGTCACGGAGCGGGGTGGGTAGAGACACAGGCAGAGGGAGAAGCAGGCTCCATGCACCGGGAGCCCGATGTGGGATTCGATCCCGGGTCTCCAGGATCGCGCCCTGGGCCAAAGGCAGGCGCTAAACCGCTGCGCCACCCAGGGATCCCCAAAAGCAAGTTTTGCCACAACTTACAGAATCCAAATATACTCAGAGGGAGAGTATACACTGAATGAGCTGGACGTTTCTCATCTTCAGTGTCAAAAAAATACAGTTGTCTGGTTTTCCAACCAGACATTTCAAAAAATAATGCTTAAGGCTGATTTCAAGGAGAGGCTTAAGATAGTCCTCAAAAGTGAGAATCAAATCATAGTAAGCCTTGACTTCCTACCGTTTGTTTTCAAATACGTGACTGGGCATTAAAAAGAATAAAGCAGGTCTCATACTGACCTGGAAGAATAACTAGGATGTATTTTTGCTCATCAAATATGTACTAAGTAGTTTCAATGTGCCAAGGACTAGTCTAGGCCCTTAAGAACCATCAGCAAGCAGAGAGGGTCCTTGTGTCTGAGGGATCATAGAGCACATAATGCTAGTGGGAGCTAAATGAACAAGCTCTAGGATGGTGTGTGCAGTGTGATTCCTTCCTGAAAAGTGTTTATACAGTTATGTAGAAACAGAAAAGGTATGTATACATGTTTGTGCAAGGAAAAAAGGTCCAGATCATGGTACAGTGTTTGGTTTTCTTTCCATAAGCATTCCCTGCTTCTGCAATTTAAGAAAGGTGCATTTAGAAATAAGTGACTCAGTTCTGAGAGACCAAATCTGAATATTTGTTTTTAAGTAATTTATATAGAATGTTTAAGATTAAGATAATACTTTTAATCCTTAAAAAAACATCTACAGTAATGATCAGATTTAGTTTAAGAAGAAATGAAATACTGGCTTTGTACAAACTGTAGAGAAGACTGGGCAGTGAATGGGAACTAGACAGCCCTTTCTAATCACTTGTGATCCTAAGAGTTGATAATGTTATCATCTTGAATATAATCTTGAAAATACTACAATTTACAAAATAATAAAGCTAATCATGGAAAAATGCCCACCTTCACTGAAATCAAAGCAATCAAAAAATAAAACCATGAATCATCAATAATGATCACCATGGCATCATCATCATAAAAATGTCTAATAACTGAGGACTGAACAAACAATATCTGTCATAAGGTACATGCAAGAAACCATTAAACATAGTATTGAGGAAGAATATTTAATGACATAGGAAAATATTTATCTTGTATTTGGTTAATTCTTTCTTAAAGCATAATCATGGGGATCCCTGGGTGGCGCAGCGGTTTGGCGCCTGCCTTTGGCCCGGGGCGTGATCCTGGAGACCCGGGATCGAATCCCATGTCGGGCTCCCGGTGCATGAAGCCTGCTTCTCCCTCTGCCTGTGTCTCTGCCCCTCTCTCTCTCTCTCTCTCTCTCTCTCTCTCTGTGACTATCATAAATAAATATTTTAAAAAATTAAAAAAAAGCATAATCATGTAGTTCCATTATGTATGTATGACTGTCTCTTGCTGGTAGGACCAATTTTTTTTGCATTATTTTTTGTGCTTTCACAATGTTAATTTTCTGCAACAAAATTTATATTAAGTTTTGTTCAGTTATAAAAGCATTTCAAAAAAAAAAGTATTTCAGCAGCACAAAGTTCTCAAGTACTATTGCTTTTTAAATTATACATATCCTTTCAGCATTTAGCATCTACCATGCTACAACATACACTCAAAAAGTTGCTTAAGAGTATATATCATCCATAATAATGTATAGTTTAAAGTTATTAAAGCTCTTTAAGTATTTTTAGAAAGAAAGAGAAATGAGAATAATTTACCCACAGCAAAGAAAATCAAGGTACCAAGTAAGACATCACTAAGATCCTATTCATCACTACTTGCCTTTAAGTTTTCAACCTTTTCTTCAAATGATTTGAAAGTTGGGGAGTTTCTATGGAGAGAAAGAAAAACAAAAAGTTACAAACAAAAAAAATTTCACAAATTTTGCAAACATCATTAATTGTATTCCTCTTCACCACGTTTCTCAGTGAGCCAAAGAGACAGATATATTTAACTGTACATATGCGTGCAGGCATACACACAAATCTGCATTATTAGGTAAGACATCATTAGGTAAGATGATCAATTTCTGTTCTAAGATTTCTACAACGACGCTTCCAGTTCCACAGACAGCCCATCTCAGACAAATGGGATAACAGACCTAGCCAAGTATGTGTATGAGGAGAGGGAACAAAACCAGGTAAAACCTCAATTCGGTCACTTCTCCAGCCATCTAGTCATGACACTTTAATTTTGGTTAAGGTACTATAAAACTTGTGTTTAAATTCCCATGTTGCCTGACAAGAGAGCCCTACATGAATCCACATCGCCAAGCTGGACAAGCAGACCACATAAGATTCCATAATAGGGATCCTAGTTCTCAGGGAACAGCATTAGAGACGAGGAAAGAGAGACCAGAAGGAAGGGAGACACACAGAAATATGATTTTGTCTACATGACAAAGCTACCCCATGAAAAGCCTCTCCCTTGCCTTCACATTCATATATTAATTGAGAAGGATCACAGCACCTATGTCGTTCTCAACTGGGTTTCCATAGCTTCTATACTATCCATCTGACCTCAAATATCCTTCCTATTACCTAGATGAAAAAGGTAAAGAAAGAACAAGGGTTTTCCTCCCTCCCACAGTGGTGATGCACAGCCAGTCCCAAGGGGTGGCCCCTCAGGTGCATCAGTAGCTCCTGGGAAGTTGCTGGCAATGCAAGTTCTCAGGTCCCACCCCAGACCTACAGAAATCAGAAACCAGAGGTGGGGCCCAGCAAGCAGAGGGTTTTAACAAGCTCTACTTGTTACTAAAGGTGAAGCCAAGTATATACTGTTAGAAATTCTCTACCTCTCTAGAGTGGTTAAGTGGGGTAATGACATACTTAATAACATACACCACTTGCACGAATTTCCTGGTAAAAGGGGAGATTAGAATTCAATCACATTGGACTCTAAATGGCACAATGGGATGTGAGAAGTGGAAATGGGGAGGATGGAAGAAAAGCAGAGTGTAACTAAAACTAATGTAGACAAATGTGGTGGGACACCTATGCAGCTGGGGAAAAGCAGCTTTATTAGTAAGTGGTCACTTTTTCAATTAAGCAGATTGAAGATATGAAACAATTTAATAGGTTTACAAAATAAATTCGAGAATTCTTTTCTTTAAATCACAAATCTCTAACGGATCTCTTGAACCCATCTTAACATCATAGGAAGATGCAACTTAACATCATAGGAAGAGCAACTAAACACTGATACAGTGTGGATGTGCAGCTTATTTAGAGCAGAACCCTAGTTCCCTATTGCAGAAATGTTCAAGTTAAACATCTAAATAAAGAACAAGAAAGCATAAGATCAACTACATTTTGTAAAAATATACTTTACCTCATAGCAGGCATGCTAATTGAATGTTGAATGGAGCGGATACTAAGAGGCAGCATTAAAAAGAGACAGACATGAAGTTAGTACAGTGATTAGACATTAGAAAACTTTGCTTTCTAGGGGCTTATTCTTTTGGCACCATGAAGACTTAATCTACGTTTTGAGGTGGAGGGGATCAAAGTTATTTCAACATAATTTACTTTTATTCATGAGCCTTTCTTTTAATTTAATATTTTCTTTCTTTTTTTTTTAGTTTGACTGATTGACTTATATAATCCCTACACCCAATGTGGGCTTGAGCTCATGACCCCAAGATCAAGAGTCACATGTTCATTGATGAGCCAGCCAGGTGCCCCTTCATGAGCCAATGTAACCTATGTGGTAAATAGAGCTAATAATTCAGCCTTGCATTTTATAGCACTTTGAAAACCCTATCATCCTTTCACTTATATCTTCAGGGCATCTAGCACCAAGGCTCAGAAGTTAAACAATTTACCCAAGGTTACAGCAGAATTGAGAATGGAACCTGGGTCTTCTGAACTCCTAATCAACGTTCACCACCTCCCCTCAAAAAACGAAGTGCACGCACACACACACACACACACACACACACACACACACGTGAGGCTAGTGAAAGGCTCCAGCAGCTGCCTTTCTCCCACATATTTGTGACCAGACCAAAATAAATCACCTATTTGACAACTTTAAGTGAGATTTACAGATCACTCCTTAGTAGTAGTACAATTTTCTAGGAAGAGGTGCTTGTACTTCATCCTAATTGTTCTTAATGGTCATTCAAATCACATTTGGCCCTTTGTTTTACTAGGACCAACTACTCCAGGGCAATGCAGTTCACTGACCATTCAGGTTGAAGGTTATCTACTCTCAGCCATCTCCCATAGAGACCACCTCGCAAGATGAAAGTACTTTAATCTAGAGGCTCACAAAGTCACTATAAATTGCTGATATGGTTACTGTGCTTAAAATATTCTGATCACTGACACAGTTTTTTTTGGTAGGAAATCTCTCCTTCAGTTATGCTGGACAGTCCAAAGTATTCTCTATATATTTGAATATTGTGTGTGTGATTTAGTTTTCTTTAAAAATCCATTGTTACAAATGACAATGTGTTTCAAGAGAAGCTCCCCAAATCTAGTTCGCACTAATATGTAATGACATGAAGTATGATCTTGATAGGAATCAAAATAGGCTGGCAGTTCACATAGGCAAGATAGTCGGCAAAATATGTAGACATCTTTGTACTTGATGTACCTAACACAGGAAAATATCCATATTCCTCACCATTCTCTCTATACTATAACCTCAGGTAGATAACCTCAGGTATAAGACCTCAGGTTAGATAACCTCAGGTAGATAACCTCAGGTATATTCCAGGAGGGATTTGTTCATTCTTTTCTTGCTTGATCTATTGCAGTGGGCTGGATCCATATTTGAAGGACAGAGATTAATTAAAATCCTCCTTTATAGTTTATAATACTAATTGTATTAATTACAATAGTTTATAATAGTTTAGACTCTTCTAAAGAGGCTGTTTGCATAATCACATTTCCACAGCCACTCTCCATCATCATCAACAATGCTAACTGGATCAGGAGAGCTCTACCCACCGCAACTAACCTGGTGATCTACAAATTGGACTGAATGAAAAGAAAAAAAAGAGGACAATTAAGATGGGAATTCATAATTAGGACATTAAGCCACTGGTCAGTTAGTGGCTAGGTGTATGAGCTAAAAGGTAATGTAGGCTTAGATGCTGAGGAAGACCTTTTTGGGACCAGGAAGGGTAAGCTGCAAGAATGCAGAGGAAGCCAGTTCCCAAAGAAAGGACTGAACATAAGCAGAGAGAGACGTAGAAGAAAGGAGGTGGAGAGGACCATGCAGGGGAGAGAACAGAAGTGGAGAGGAACGGTGGTTTCCTTAGCTTCGGGAAGTGACCTTGATTTCTACCAGCTTTCCAATCAGCAGGGCTAGTCTGGGTGGATCCAGGGCTTGCTTCCTTTCTCCTCTCTTTGGATCCCAAAAGAACTCTTTTTCTGTGTAACACATGCCCCTTCCTAGGTCAGGTAATTTACATAATATTTTTGTTCCTTATAACCAAGACTCTTCATTAGGACATTCGTTTTGGCAGAAATGACCAAATTCTGGCAAAAGAATGGAGAATGATGGCTGAATGTGTGATAAAATGCTTGTTCATGAGACTCACAGATTGAATTCAACAGTATCAACAAAATGAGGAAATAGGTGAAGAAAGTACAAATTTCAGAAATCCATAGCTAATTCTAGCCACTATCCCTAAGCACCCACATAAAACCTCATTCCTTCCAACAGCCATTTGGGGAGTTCTGTGCCCCTTGAACCAGCATACAGACCAGTTAAGAGGGAACAGGTCAAAGGCAAAGTGGAAGACATCATCATAAAATGAATTCTAAATGCATCAAGTAGACTGTCGTAAATTTAACATCTGGGGAGCAAATTACTTCAGGATTACTCTATGTAAGAAATAAGCTCCGGGGTCATAAAAATTGAAAAACTAAACTGTAACCATCACCTGAAATTATCAAGGGGTGGAGAATGGAAACAGGAAGCCAGTGGAGAGCTATACATGAATCAAGGGGGCTCCCCTGATCGGGTAAGAGATAGATGGTAGTGGACCATCAGTGCAAGGAGAGGTCAGGAAGAAAGGGGAAACCGACAAATAAGGTCAAGTTAGGAGAAAGCAGTAATATTGGAAATACAGATAATTTTTTAAATGTTTGATTTTTACAGCATTACTACAGGAAAGGACTACCAATATGCTTCCAAAAAAATCAAGTCAGAAGTTGATAATTTGGGGCACTTGGGTTATTAAGCACCTCCCAGGCCCCAGTGATTTCTGCAATGTGATTTAAAGAAGAATGTTAAAAATGATCACTCTGAGAAATCTAAGAAACAATGTAGCAAGTCAAGTCCTTTAGTGGGGCACCTGGGTGGCTCGGTGGTTGAGCGTCTGCCTTTTGCTCAGGTTGTGATCCTGGGGTCCTGGGATCGAGTCCCTGCATCGGGCTCCCTGCATAGAGCCTGCTTCTCCCTCTGCCTGTGTCTCTGCCTCTCTCTGTGTCTCTCACGAATAAATAAATAAATAAAATATTTTTTTAAAAATACAATAATAAAAAATAAATAAAGTCCTTTAGGGCCTTCTAAAGGACCCTTAAGTCCTTTACAGGATCATGACATAATCACACTTGCTACTGTCAAACTTCAATTAGCAGCCGAGACAAAGTGAGGAATAGATAAGGAAAAGCAAGGAAGTGGTAACAATAAGGTGTTTACTTTGTGATGAATCACTGACTTGAATTTGATTGTGAATGCTTCTATAGGTTTCATATTTCCCAATAAGATTAAAAATGTACTCACTGAACAGAGAATGAAATCAAATTAATACAGATTCTTAAAAAGTGCAGGTCTCGGGCAGCCCTGGTGGCCCAGTGGTTTAGCACCGCCTTCAGCCCAGGGTGTGATCCTGGAGACGCTCGAGTCCCTGCATCGGGCTCCCTGCACAGAACCTGCTTCTCCCTCTGCCTCTCTTTCTCTCTCTCTCTCTCTCTCTCTCATGAATAAATAAATAAAATCTTTTAAAAAAAAAACAAAAACAGTACAGGTCTCCCTGCTTTTGAGATAGCCATTTTAGTAGGGAGAGCAAGGAGTACCTAGCAATTTCTAGTCCATTCAGGTATTTGAACTTCTCCGCAAAATCCATATTTAGGTGAGATTCAATTTTGTTGGTGGCTAGTTTTGTAACTCAACTATAGGGCGGCTGTTCTCACACTTCTGGCTTCCCTATGGAAAGTTATACAAAGCTTCACCTTGACTCAACTTACATAACATCTCCGATTCCACTGAAGTTCAAATAGAATATGGGAAACTCCAGAAGGAAAAGCTGCTAGACCAGAACCGTCTAATAGTCACACTGTGAGGATTCATTAGCAATACAGCAAATTTTGTTAAAATTTCCCCAGCTTGGTTTGTAACTCTTAAATATGGTATCAAAAGTAGGAATACAAGTCTGGGTTCCTCAAAACACTGACCAAAAAAGAAACCAGACGCCAACCAGATTCTCACTAAATGCTTCTTGATCTTACACTTACTCTTACTTTAGAGAAGTTCATCTTTTAAGAAGCTGAATTGATTTTTAAATTTTTTCTTGTTTCTTTCACAGTTACTTGATCTCTTTACCTCTCTAATCACAATAATGGAGGAGGCACAGAGGGAGGGAGGAGGAAGGAAGGGAGGAGGAGGTGGTACACGGAGAAAGGAGGGGAAGAGCTAATGGTTAACCTGCCTACTGTGTGTCAGGCACGCTATCTGTGCATCATTATTCCATTTTGCCCTCATAGTAATTTCCTGTAGGTGAGAAACCAAAGTAACTGCTGGGCAGTGCCTAGAGGGGCATATTCTTTAACTATAACTGCTTTGGGGGTGGGGAGGAGGCGCAAAACAATGCAGAGAAATAGAATTTAGGCTCCAGAAATAGAGTGTTGCTTAGGTTCAAATTTTGGCCATAGCCCCTTAGCTGTGTGACCTTGGGGAAGTCACTTAATCTCTCTGTGGCTATGTTTCTTCATCTGTACAATCAAAAAAAAAAAAAAAAAAGCACCTACTTCAGAGTAACTACAGAGCCTTGCCTGGAAGGCAATTATTTACCATTATTAGTACTAGGGACATTTTTAATGGAAACACATTAACATTTAATTTACATTAGATTATATTCTTTAAAACTGTCACATTGCACCCAGTCTGTTTATTTCAGTTGGTAACTTGAACCACACAGTCTAGACCAGGGGCTGGCACAGGGTTAGCATTCAATAAATACTTCTGAATGAAAGAATGAGTGGATGAACAACTGTGGTAACTATAATTAGGAAATATGGCATGAAAGGTAGAAAAGTTCAATAAAGCTTTCCAAATTTAAATCAAGAAGTACTCTCTGAAAGAAAAGACATCACTTTTTTTCCTCATTAAGTGGTGGAAATTTTCATCAAGACAGAATGGTCTGGAGTAACTTTAATGAGCCCAAAACAAAAATACCTAGAGGGTTATATAAAGAAATATACATATAAAGAGGAGAAATTTCCTTTGGAAATAAAGGCAAAGTTAATGAGCCCTTCCTCCTAAATATATCAAAAGTATCTGACTAATGAAGCTGCTGTGTTATTTTACTATGCTTTAACACTAAAACTGATGTTTAACCCTGGCACCAAGGAAAATGAGAAAGCTCCTTCAAAGTTTCTCTCAAAAAATTAAAGGCATGAGTCAATACTCAGCATGTATGTGTAGAAAATAAGAAAAGAGAGAGAGGTGGATATGAACACACCACCTGGGGGTAGGGGGAAGCTGGCTGCCCCTACTGGGCCTCTCAGCACAGTTCATATTACCATGTCCCACGTCTGGCCCTCAGACACCTAATTCTCAGGGCATTAAAACCAGATCTCGGGGGATCCCTGGGTGGCTCAGCGGTTTGGCGCCTGCCTTTGGCCCAGGGTGCGATCCTGGAGTCCCGGGATCGAGTCCCACGTTGGGCTCCTGGCATGGAGCCTGTTTCTCCCTCTGCCTGTGTCTCTGCCTCTCTCTCTTTCTTTCTCTATCATAAATGAATAAATAAATAAATAAATAAATCTTTAAAAAAATAAAATAAAATAAATAAAATAAAACCAGATCTCTGGGACACCAGGGTGGCTCAGTGGTTGAGCGTCTGCCTTTGGCTCAAGTTGCATTGAATCTTGCATTGGGCTCCCTGCAGGGAGCCTGCTTCTCCCACTTCTCCCACGGCCTATGTCTCTACCTCTCTCTGTGTGTCTCTCATGAATAAGTAAATAAAATCTTTTAAAAATAAAAACAGATCTCTGTCTCTCGTCTCTTCTGCTTCCTCCTTCTTACCCACCCACTTGAGGTGTAAGACAAATATCTAAGTCCCAAGTGCCCATTTATTGACAATGTGACATGAAAACTGTTGCTGTATCTAACAATTCATGTCATCAAATCATCCACAATCCTGTCAGAGAGTGAAATCATCGCCTCAAGCTTTCTGGGTTAGCATGGACTCTGTAAAACAAAAGGTAGTTGACAGGATTAACCAACTATTTCAAGGACGTGGCTAAAGAGACCTCTTGCCCATCTCCACAGGAGCAAAGGCCTGGCTGGGAATGAAACCCTCAAAATCTTTGCTCTAAGCTCCCTCTCCTTGAACAGTTTTTGGGGCCAGTACCTGCTCCCTTGAGTCATTGATCCTAGAGGTGTGGTCTTTCTTTATGTACGTTTTCTATTATGTATGTTTTTATGTGTTTCTATTATATATGTTTTCATATATTTTTATGATATATGAGCACATTAAATCTGATGACGATCAGGGCTTCTTGGCCTGGAAATGACTTAAGTGACTTCAGTCAACTTTTAATCTGTAAGAATTATAAAATTTAGCTTTCGGAAGATGATCTCCTGTCTCTAATTTCCAAGTTCTCATCAAAAGCCTTACTTTAACCTCCATGTTTCAATACATATTATTAATCCTGGAGGACAGTAGGAAGAAAGGCAGGCAGGGGCAAGGGGCCCTGTCCTAAGACGATTATCCTACACCATCCTGGAAGGAGCCCTCCACCCTTTCCCACATGAACAACTCCCTGATAGGTAGATGAGTGTGTGGACAAAATCCTGATTGGGTGACAGGCACGTGGAGGGCTAATCAGATTAAAACAGCCCACTAACATTCTCACCAACGTTCTTGTAAAAACCCCTAGACTTAAAAAAAAAAAAAAAAAAAAAACCCTAGACTTAGCAACTCCCAGGGCATCCCTCTTGGGTCCCCTCCCTCTTCTTCAGGAACTTTGTCCTATCCCTCAATACACGTTGCCCACCACTCTTATTCTTCGAAGCAGTATGAACGAATCATGGGTGCTAAAGAAAAAGAAATCCTGAACGTTATTAGAAGCAGGACTTAAAAAAAAAAAAAAAGCAGGACTAAAAGTGGTAGAGTATAATCTCAATTACATATTTTTAAAAATATTTATTTATTTTAGATGAGGAGGGGCAGAGGGAGAGCATCCTCTAGCAGACTCCCCACTGAGCCTGGAGCCCAACACAGGGCTCAATCCCGGGACCCATGAGATGATGACCAGAGCCTAAGCCAGGAGTCAGACGCTTAACCAACTGAGCCAACCAGGCGCCCCTCAGTGATATTTTTTAAATGAATAAAATGAAAAAAGGGACTAAGGAGCTAGAAAAGGGTGGCAATACTCAATCTGTCCCCAGCCAATTAATAAGACATTTGCTTAATCTTCTTAAACACATAGAGAATAGGGACACATACTAATGAGTCATTCCTCAATAGCACTTACATAAATATTCTTGCATTTTTGTTTATATCACATCTAAAACTGTTTTATATAATCCAGTGTTAACAGGGCTCTTCCACCTTAACTTGTTCCTAGTCCCTGCTTCTTTCCCCCATTCCATCCACTCAAAGATTTTTAAGGTCTTTCCGTACAAGAAGCAGATCTGATTTATGGTTCTATTCTTTGGACCTGCCCACAAAGTGCAGTCTAATGTTAGCAGGATGGATTATGAGACTGAATACCTGTTCACACACAACTCACAGACAACCTTAGATAAAATGGTCTTAATTAACAGTTGCCTAGATCACTTAGGACGTTTTTAATTGAATACCAAAGATACAGTATCACCTCCTATTAGTGATTTTTTTTTTAAAGCACAGGTTTAACTTTAAATAATTCAGCTTTTAGAGTTGATGCATCCCTATGATTTACTCTGACTTCCAGGGCCAAGTGTCAGTAGGGCAGAAAGACCTCAGCTCTAAGTACATATTCCCTCACTTAAGAAGACAGACTATCGCAAATGACTGCTTGAGAAGACAATCTGCCTTCATAGGAACAGGTGTGGAGACTACCAATGCTGTCTTTCCTGCTTATACTCTAAAGACCTTGCTCCAACTTCATTTTCTCAACTAATTGGATACACAGTCTGTATGGGAGACAGAGAAGAGGTTTGTTCAACATCACAAAGATTCCTTCTTCTCTAAGGCATGGTTTGGGCTGACATCTTTTTAATGTGCTTGTTTTTTAGCCTAAGAGATTATTTTTCTTTTGCAACCATGAAATTTCTTTACATGTACACTTAAAGAATATAATGTATAGAGAAATTAAAGGATAGTAAAAACTATACGCTAATAAAACAAGTACTGAAAAGTACAGAGTAATGGTATATTTTACTTTATGTATATTTTACCACAATAAAAAAAAAAATATCCAGAGTAACCTGTATAAGATGGGAGACTAACATCACGAGGCAGGACATATGCAGTCTATTACAGATACATAATGAGACCCAGGTGAAGAATTCCAACATCCTGACAAAAGCACCAAAGAAATTAAAGCATCAGAAACAAACAAAGTCAGACATTAAAAGGGAGGAATTCTGTATGCCATGGTTAAGCTGCTTCTTTTTACCAAAAAAAAAAAAAAAAAAAGTAAGAAACATCAAAATCATTTCCATATCCCTAAACCACAATGTCAAATTATTCTTTTAATTTATCCATTACCCCGGGTATACGAGAAATCCTCCCTTAGAAATAGGTATGCACTAGAGAAAGATATTCCAGATGCAAGAAAAGTATGTAGTGGACAAACACAATCATCCAACGTGGCATAATCATCTAATTAAGCACACTTGTCTTAGACACCGGCTAAGCTGCAGGGATGGTTCAAGCTCTCCTTACCTAAAGGAATGTGAAAAGGCTTGCAATCTGCAAGAAGCCGCAGTAAGCATTAAAAAAGAAAGGAAGTTCTGGTAAATCTAAAACAATGAAATTACCTACTGTTTAAAAGTTGTGTAAGGTTTTAACTGGACTCCAAAGCACTATACAGTCAAGTTGGCAAAAAAAGAAATGAGAACACCTACGAGATGTCTATAAACTGTCAGAAGAATCCAAGTAAGCTATGTTTATTACACAATGCTTAGAATGATGATAGTCCAAATATAATAAGTCATTTGTTTTTTTGGTACAATGTATAATACATTTGATTGCCAAACTTATTCAACCAACAAAATTCTGGTTGTAAAAGCTACATTCCCCACAAATGAAAAACACAAAGTCATGCAATCTGAGGGTTTTGTTGGTAAAACAAAATAACTTTCATGCCAACAGAAGCACAGCAAATGTAAACCATGTCTCTCACTTTCAGCGCTATTCTAATCAACATGGGGGAGGGGGGCAGAGGAGACACACAGAAGCACCGTGAAGTGGTTTTATCAAAATTGCCACAAAAATTCTGCAGACTAATCTAAAATATAAATGCAAAATAAAAAGCAAAGCTCAATATCAAGACTGGGGCCTAAGCATGAATGTCGAGAGAGCTTATAAATGAGTACAAATCAGTACACAGATGGGCATGTTGTAATCACACCACGGTTTAACAATGTAACACACAGAGCTGAAGGCAGGTCTTGGCCCCAGCGTGCAGTCAATGCTCCTGGACGTGTCCCCAGTAGGATCACAGGCTCAGCCCCCAACCACAAACTTGCAACTGCGAGAGATATACTTACCCTGCATGACCAGGAAGGACTAGAAGGATAGAAGTGCACAACCAGAATTTTCCAGCAACTTTAAATGTATTCATAAAATGATTATTTTGAACGCTATGTCTGAAAGTCAGAAGGCTACCCCTACAATACTTTAGGCAATATTTCCTCTCCTGTTTTGAAGAAGTGGGCTCCCCTCAGTTGAAAAGAGGAGAATCCAGCATCATCCACAGCCAAAGTCAGGAAACCAATGCAACCACGACATAACTTTAATTTGCCTCAGCTACTTAATGAGCAAGGAGAAATGAGGACATACTTTACGTCTTCCAGCTTTTTGGTGATGACTGATCCAACAGAGGAGAAAGCAGCTGACGCCTTCTGCCCAGCTTGAGATAAGGTTTCGGAAGTCTTTTTGTATCTACATTAAATTATAAAAGAACAGAACAAAGAAAAGTTAAGCTAACCTTTTCTAATAGTTATTTAAAGCATAATCACCACCTCTTGGAGAGCTCTCGAAAATTAAAATGGTTTTGTTTTCAGAACATCCAATCTGCTTCACAACCACCAGTTTGGCATCATCACTTCACCTGATGCTTACCCCCTCATTCAGGCGCGATCTTCGGCAGAGGCCTAGAAAGGCAGGACCAAGGAAATCAGGGTGAGGGGCAAAACAGTCATGGAGAAAAGATGAAAATGAGCCGGAGGTTGAAAGAAATTATACCTCTTCTTCTTCTCCACCGAAGCCAAACAAAACAAAAATGAAATCAATTCTTCACATGCCTTTTATAACTTAATCTCCTAAAAAGGGACCAGAAGCAAGGTAAGGCCCACATGTACTTTATTATTCAAATATATTGTATGGGCTATAAAGAATTTTTTTTTAATTTCGCATGTCTGCAGAGCTACCAAATAAGGACTTGTAGACTCTCAGCAGAGTATGTAAAAGGTGTGACACTCAAGATAACTTTAGTGTGGTATTTGCTATAACATAAATCTACCATTTACCACCTCCCTCTTCCCATCTACCCACGGATTAGTGAAGGGAAAATAAAAATAAGCTAATATGATAGCTGCTACCAAGAGGTTAAGATCCCCACATTACAGAAAAGGAAGGCTCAGGAATTTTTAGTTATCCCATCAAGATGAAATATTAAAAACAAAAAATGTATGGTGATACACAGTCAAAGGATAGTTTCCTGGACTTATATGGGTAGAAAGTGGACCGAAGGGGGTGGAAAGACCCTAGTGCTGTCACGTAAGGATGCCAGCAGCCTCACTGCCTCTGGTCACCAGCTCAGTAAGTGGGACTGAACAGAATGATAAAGAACACACTTCAGAATCTTCACAAGCTTGCTCCTCCTTGTGCTGGGAAACAAAACTGCATCATGATGATGCCATAACAAAATCTGTGTGATCAAAAAGACAAGATGATTAAGGGGTGGGCCTCGCCACCAGCACCTATCAGAGGCGATGAGTCGAGTCTTATGCTCCCTATAGAGTAGGATGAAGAAAGACTGGCTCAGGTCAAACCTGAGTTCAAATCCTGCCCCCATATTTTTGAGTTTTGTTACCTCAAGACTCACCTGCTCCTGCTTCCTTATCTCCGGCTAGCTCACCTACCACCCTATTTGATCATTCTGAAGACTATGTGACACATGTGCATTTCTGGCAAGTCAATATATAACACTGTGGGAACTTAAATGTCATGTCTTCAACTCACAGACGAGGCTGGTTTTCTTTCTATCCCCTAGAACAGTCTGGAAGACCAGAGTTAGAGAAGACTCGGGTACACTGGAGAACTGGGTTAGGAGAGCCCTGTGTTGTACAAAGAAAAGTTGCAGAAGCCTCCTCATCCCCTTTCAATTCCCCTCCCCACACAAAAGGAGCAGAAGTGTCCTTCACGTTCTCTGTTCTCTAGAAAAATGTATGATCAAGGGAACGTACGCAGATGTTGCTGTCACATCCTGCCAGCCTTTGGCAATGTTCTGTTTTAGTTCCTGTAGTGAATTGATCCCAAGTTTCCGTTTGATCTCTGCTAGGTGCTTCTCTTTTGCTGCTAACACTTGAGACAGAGTCTGGATTTCTTCTTCTACCTATGAGGAAGGAGGTTGGGGTAAAAATACAGCATGAGTCCTTCAGTAAGTGAGGATTATTAGTGCAAAACTATTCTCAATATTCTTCTATATGAGTCACTTAAAAACATGTTCTGATTCATTTATCCGTCTCTGAAAACAACATACAGCATGTTTAGTAAACTGGTTACATGCTGAACTCTACTATAGAGCTTCTCTTTCCTCTTCTTTTTTTATCTTTTTTTTTTTGAGAGAGAGAGAGAGCACACACATGAGTGGGGGTGGGCAGGAGGGGCAGAGGGAGAGAGAGAATCTCAAGCAGGATCCACACCCAGGGCAGAGCCTGACGTGGGGCTCCATCTCATGACCCTAAAATCATGACCTGAGCAGAAATCGAGAGTCGACACTTAATCAGCTGAGCCCCCAAGGCACCCCTCTTTTCTCTTCTTTATATTTCTATCTTGAATTGTCCTTAGGCTTCTCTTCTCTCTCTCTCTATACTTCCTTACTCAGTTATCCCATGGAAGCTTAGGGCTCAAACCTCCACACAGATAATATTCAAATTATTCTAACATCCACTCTTCTGACCTCTCGTCTGCATTTCCAGCTGGACACGTCCACCTGAGTACCCACAGATCTCATATTTGTGTACCAAATCTCTACTCCCCACTAAAACATGTGCATCCAAGCCAAATCGAAATCCAACCTTCCTACATATTTCATAAAAGTTTATACTGGAAACGTCTGTCCCAGAGCCTGCCAAAACCACAGCTCTCAATGAATCAAACTGTCTCCCCACAAAGAGCACCCAGAAGTCCCATGTGGACCTCAGCTAAGGCTGGACAGTTAGAGATAGGCCCTTGACCCAAGGACAGCCAGCCCATCAAGTGGCCACCACCCAGGAATATGCCTGCTGGAAAAAAGAGATGCTCCACTAATCACAGTCTCTGTCATTCAGGAATCTAGTTTGAGAAACTGAGATAACACTGAGAATAGTTGCTGAAAGACTTGGATAAAGATGCCCTAAAGTAAAGAAGGGGAAGTGAGATTAGGAGATTTGGAAGCTTAAATATATTTGAGGAGGCCAAAACTCTACATGCAGAAACTAAAAAGAACAAAAAAGACTTACAGAGCAGAAGAAGAGCCTGCAACAGAAAAACAGAAGGCAAGAGACAGACCCACAGAGACAGACAGACCTCACACGAAGAGAACTTTTGTCCTGGAAAGTTGAAAAAGTGGGATAGTCATTAATACTCAAGACCCTTAGAAAGATGCTTCTCTTGGCTTTTTGCAAAGCCATATTCTCAACCTTGACCTCTCATTTCTAAGATTTCAAAGACAGCATGGCCTTTAAAAACAACCTATAGTGGGCGCGTGTGGGTGGCTTAGTTGGTTAAGTGACTCTTGGGTTTCGGCTCCGGTCATGCATGATCGCAGGATCCTGAGATCATGCCCTGTGTTGACAAGAGTTTGCTTGTCCTTCTCCCTCTGCATTCCCCCTCCCTGGAGTAAATAATTAAAAAAATAAAATAACATTTAGTGTTGTTAAATAAACTCTTCTCACTGCCAATTAAATCTTTACAGAACACAAAGTGAAGAAAAATAGTACTCAACAAAAGGAGAGAAGAACAAATCACATGTGAAGTGGCTAGCAAAACACACACAGTTCTTAAGATGGCATTAATTAGAATGTAGGTCCAGAACAAAGATAACCCTCTGTGCTTGTCAGGCAGGACCGCTCATTCTGTGCTAGTCTTGGAAGTCATTTAAGTGGAATATGAAAATAAAAAGGCAAGAATGAATGAATGAGGTTCAAAATCAAGTAAATTAAATGATTTGCCCTAAGTCATCAAACTAATAATGTAGGAACCAGAATTTCAACCCAGGGGGCTCCATTTCTCAGTTTCCTGGCTAATTCTCATTGCACACTATTAGCTTTCCAACACCTCCCTCTCTATCCCAACTCCCAATTTTTCAGATGCTCCAAAAAACAGACCTAAAAGAAAATATTCTACCCCTTGACACTTCTCTCGATTCCCTTTCCCTAATGACAGTTGGAGAAAAGACCACTAAAAATGTGACCCAATGCATTCCCCACTTTTGTTGGTTAGATTGTGCTGCCAACATACCTAGTTCAGCACATCATAGCTACAATTCCTTAATTCAATATATACATATCACAGACATATATATATAATACATATTTTTAAATATGGAAAAAATACATATATAAAAGAACGACCTTAAAGCACAAAGAATACATCTGATAAGATCTAGTATTCATAACATACTGAACACATATAACTCAATAATATAAGAAAAATAATCCAATTAAAAGTGGACAAAGGATTTAGACATTTCACCAAAGAAGATACATAAATGATCAATCATATGAAAAAATGCTCAATACCATTAATTAGTAATTAGAAAAATTCAAAGAGACTCTTACTAGGATGTCTATCATAAAAAAGACAGTAACAAGTGTCGACAAGGACATAAAGAAATTGGGGCCCTTTTACATTACTGATGAGAAGGTAGAATGGTGCAGTTTGGCAGCAAAACAGTCTGGCAGTTTCTCAAGAAGTTAAACATAGAGTTACCATATGATCCAGGAATTCCATTCCCTGGTACATAGCATACAACCACCCAAAAACCTGTACACAAAAATATTCACAGGAGCATCATTCATAACAGCCAAAAAGTGGAAACAACCTAAGTATCCAACAATTGATAATCAAAATGTGGTAGATAGCTATACAATTCAGCCATAAAAAGGAATGAAATACTAATACGCATTATAACATGGATGAACCTTGAAAAAATACTAAGTGAAAGAAGCCAGTCACAAAAGACCATACACTATCTGATTCCATTTATACAAAATACCTGTAATGGGCAAATCTATAAAAATAGAAAGTAGACTAAGGGTTGCCAGGGGTTGGAGGGAAAGGGCTGGGAGTGACTGCTAATGGGAACACGGTTTTTTTTTTTTTTTGGATGATGAAAATGTTTAGAATTAGGTAGCAGTGAGAATTGTTCAATAACATACAATCTACTCAGAGATTTAGAACCTGTTTCCTCCTCAATCAAGTTATGATAACTAATAGTATTAAGTAATGTATAGAATTGTGGAATTACCATATTGTATACCTAAAACTATGATACAGCATGTTATACTAGAATTTTTTCAATAAATAAAAAATAATAGCATGTGCCTCTTCACACTGTTGTGATAATAAATGAGATGATGTATGCACTGAGTTCAGCTTAGCAAGCAATCTGAAGACACTAGGCACTATTACTATTATGTTAGTATTACCGATAATAAAATAATAATACCAAGAATGACAAGGATTTGGAAAAATGGCTTTCTCATATACTGTGAGAAATTTTCTGAATAGCATTTTGGTACTACCAGTGTACATGGGAATGACTCTATGTCCTTAAGAAAAAACTACTAGACCCAGGAACCCTCTTTGTAGGAGTACTAATTAGAGAAGTGCATAAGGGATTATGTGTAAACGTTTCCACCAAAATATTACATAATAGCAAGAAATGGAAACAACCTAAATGTTTATAAATATGTTCATTAATTAAAAATGAGCTTGCAGCAATGAAAAAATGGGCTATCCAACAATTAAAATTAATTTTTTATTGGCATGAAAAACTGTTATGAAATCCAGGTAAGTGGGGAAAAGTTATAGACCTTTTTTAAAAAAGGCTTTTTAAAGTACAGAAATAAAAAAAAAGAAGTACAGAAATATAACAATACATATCTAGAAAAATGTCTGGAAACAGATCATCTAAACTTTCACACTGTGAGTAATTTTCATTTTCTTCAGTTTTCTTTTATGTTTCTACAATAAATATATGTCACTTGTGGAAAATGTACTTTTGTTTTTTTCTTTTTAAAATAGCATGTACTAAATACACGATATTTTTAATTCTTACTCCTCCATAAGGCATATCACCACTCTAACCTACCCATCCTATCCCCACTTTGTTAGTAAAATCTTATGTAAACAAGTGGACAGAACATATACATCAATAAGAAAACAGAAGACTTGAACAACACCATAAACCAACTGGATCTAACAGATACATATAACACTGTGCCCCAAAACAGTAGAATACACATTTTCCCCAAATGTACATTCTCCAGCACAGAGTATATGTTAGGCAAAAAAAAAAAAAAAAAAAAAAAAATCTCAGTAAATTTAAAATCATATGAAGGGGATCTCTGGGTGGCGCAGCGGTTTGGCGCCTGCCTTTGGCCCAGGGCACGATCCCGGAAGTCCCATGTCGGGCTCCCGGTGCATGGAGCCTGCTTCTCCCTCTGCCTATGTCTCTGCCTCTCTCTCTCTCTGTGTGACTATCATAAGTAAATTTAAAAAAAAAAATCATTATGAAGTTTTTTCTCCAACCACAAAGGAATGAAACTTGAAATTTAAAAAAAGAAAAGCTGCAAATATCATAATTTATGAAAAATAAACAACACACTCTTAAACCACCAATGGAACAAAGAAGAAATCACAATATAAACTGGAAAGTAGGGGCACCTGGGTGGTTCAGTCAGTTGAGCATCTGCCTTTGGCTCAAGATGTGTTCTAGGGTCCTGGAACCTGGCAGTATTGGGCTCCCTGCTTATGTTCTTTCTCTCCCTCAAATAAATATATAAAATCTTTTTAAAAAAAAAAGACCTCAAATCAATTATCTAACTCTACACTTTAACAAACTAGAAGAAGAAAAGGAAATTAGCCCCAAAGCTAACAGAAGGAAGGCAATGATCAAGATTAGAGTGAAGACAGAAAACACAAATAAGAGAAAAATCAATGAAATCAAAACCAGATTCTTTAAAAAGACCAACAAAATTGGCAAACCTTTATTTAGCTAGACTGACAGAGAAAAAAACAATAGAAGATACAAATAACTATAATAAAAAATGAAAGCAGCAACATTGATACCACCTTTTTTTGTATATTTTTTTATTGGAGTTTGATTTGCCAACATATAGCATAACATCCAGTGCTCATCCCGTCAAGTGCCCCCCTCAGACTGGGTGACAGGCACTGAGAGGGGCTACCAACTTTAAAGAAATAAAAAGGACAAGGGCACCTCACTGGCCCAGTCAGTAGAGCTTTCAACTCAATCTCAGGGTCATGAATTCAAGCCCCGTGTTTGGCATAGAGCCAGGAGAAGAGAAGCCAAGACTAGACATAGGATTATAAGAGAAAACTATGAACAACTGTATGCCAACAAACTTGATGACCTAGATGAAAGGGACAAATTCAAAAAAAAAAAAAAAAGGGACAAATTCTTAGCAATTTACAAATTATTTAAACTGACCCAAGACGAAACAGAAAAATCTGAAGAAACCTATCATATGTAAACAGATTGAATTAATTATCAAAAATCTCCCAACAAAGAAAAGTCCAAGACTTAGATGGCTTTATGGTGAATTATACCAAACATTCAAAGAATTAATGCCAGGGATTCCTGGGTGGCTCAGGGTTTAGCGCCTGCCTTTGGCCCAGGGTGCAATCCTGGAGTCCCGGGATCGAGTTCCACGTCGGGCTCCCGGCATGGAGCCTGCTTCTCCCTCCTCCTGTATCTCTGCCTCTCTCTCTCTCTCTCTCTCTCTCTCTGTCTATCATAAAATAAATAAATCTTTTTAAAAAATAAAATAAATAATTAATGCCAATCCTTCTTAAACTCCTCCACAAAACAGAAGACCAAGGAAAACTTCCTAACTCATTCTAAGATGCTAGAATTACCCTAATACAAAAGCCAGACAAAAACATCACAAGAAAAGAAAATCGTAGGCCAATATCTCTCATGAATATAGATGCAAAAATACTCAACAAGGAAAAAATAAATAAATAAAAATTAAAATAAATAAGTAAATAAAAATTAAAAAAAAAAAAAAAACAAGGGGTGCCTAGGTCGCTCAGTGGTTAAGCATCTGTCTTTGGCTCAGGTCAGGATCAGGTCCTGGGATTGGAGTTCCACAGCGAGGAATCTGCTTCTCCCTCTAGCCCTCCCCCTGCTCATGCTTGCTCTCTCGCTCTCCAATAAATAAATAAAATCTTAAAAAACAAAAGGCACTATGAAGAAAGTGAAAAGACAACATACAGAATAGGAGAAAATACTTGCAAATCATATATCTGATAAGGGCCCAATATACAGAATACATAAAGAGCTCTTATATCTCAACAAAAAAAAAAACAAACAAAAAACAATTAAAAGAAAAACTGGGCAAAGAATCTGAATACACATTTCTCCAAAGAAGATAGACAAATGCTAATAGGCACATGAATGCTCCATATCATTGGTCATAGGGAAATACAAAACTAATGACATACAACTTTACACTCGCTAGGATGGCCATAATCCATAATCTTCCTTCGAAAGATCAAAAATAACAAATGTTGGCAAAGATGTAGACAAATTGCTGAATGGGATATAAAATGGTGTCCCTGCTGTGGGGAAATAGTTTGGCAGTTCCTCAAAAAAGTTAAACATGGGGAGGGCACTTGATGGGATGAGCACTGGGTGTTATACCATATGTTGGCAAATCAAATGAAATTTTTTTTAAAATGTAGGGGGAAAAAAGGTTAAACATGGAATTACATTTGATGCAGCAATTCCAGTTCTAGGTATATACCCAAAAGAACTAAACATAGGTATTCAACAAGTACGTTTACACAAATGTTCCTAGCTCAGTATCTACAATGTGGAAACCACAAACAGATAAACAAAATATGGAAGATACATATAATGGAGTATCATTCAACCATAAAAAATAATAAAGCACCAGGGATGCCTGGGCTGTTCAGTTCGGCCCAATTTTGGTTCAGGTCACCATCTCAGGGTTGTGGGGTCAAGCCCGTGTCAGGCTCCACACTCAGCACAGAGTTTGCTTGTCCCTCTTCCCCCACACTGCCCCCCCCACTCATGCTTGTGTGCATACATGCATGTGTGCTCGCTCTCTCATAAATAAATTAATTAATCAAATAAATAAATTCTTTTAGAAAAACAGTAAAGTGCCAATATATGCTGTAAGAATGAACCTCAAAAATACTATGCCAAGTGAAAGAAGCCACAAAGAAAAAGTACCATATTATATGATTCTGCTTAAATAAAATATCCAGAATAAGTAAATCCATAGAGATGAGACATAAAGCAGATTATTGTTGCCAGGGGATGAGGGAGGGGCGACTGATTGAGGATGCCAGTTTAATGAGTATAGGTCTCCTCTGGGTGTGATGGAAATGTTCTGAAACTATACAGAGATGACAGCTGCACAAGGCTGTGAATGTGCTAAATGCCATTGCATTGTACACTTTTAAACAGTGAATTTTAAGACAGAGAGAGAGAGAGGGAGGGAGGGAAAGAAGGTTCAAAGTGCCTATACCCACAACACAACAAAGGGGAGAACAGAGTCACTGATGCAGCTGAAAAGGTAAGTGTGTTAGACTTGGTGCAGCCCCTCAGGTGATCTCTAGCATTCCTCTCGCCCGGGTCCTCCTTCACATCCTACTTCTCGGACCCACATCACCCGTTATATACCTTTTTCCATATAAAAACCAACTGGTATCACGCTCCTCTATTTCTTCTCCCCGCCTCCAGACCTCTTGGACATAAATGCATGCTGCTTTCTCTCCCCTGGAACCGATGAGGAGATGTGACCATGTGCTTTAGAACTCTAAGTGACATTGTAAGGGCAAAGCGTGAAGTTCCAAAAGGAAGGCTTCTTTACCTTTGCAAGTTCTCTTCTTAGCTCTTCTTGCTCCTCCTCTGATAGGGTCTCTGTGGCACCAATTGTGGCAACAACATCTTCTCCTTCCTCGGGTACTGGGTCTGTTCTCAGCAGACCTTGTTGAGGATTAAAAAAAAAAAAAAAAAGTCTGAAAAGTATGAAAACTAAGTAAGATTCTCCCTTAGGCTCCTGTAACTGCCCCAGCGAGAATAAAACCAATTAGACTGGATCCACACATCAACTTTCTGTACCTTCAAATGACCTGGCTCTCCCAGGAAAGGACAAAAGAAAAGTCTGACCTACCGCTAAAAACCACCAAGTTATACTCTGCCAAAAATGAATTTAGAATTCATATTTGCTTGGCTTCTCTGTTCCTTTGCTCAGTCACAATATAGTTACTCCAAAGCAGAAGAGTTAAGATGCCAAAAATGGGCTCTTGGCAAGGCTTAAAATGCTAAGCTAGTAAATCAGCGTGACTAGTAATTCACACTAACAAGGAAAGGGGTTTGTAAATGTCTCTAGCTTCCTCTGCTAATCAAATCCAGCACCTAACCTCAAGTCAAGAACTGAACAAGCTCAGAGCCTACAGAAATTTTATTCCTCCCCCCAAAACAAGAAAGAAATTGTATTTCATTTCTTTCCATTGTTAGTGGAGATAGAAAACACCACCTTGTGGCTTTTAAAATAAATATATTAATATATATATTACATATATATCATCCAGATAATGTTTAAAAAGTCCTAATGTATACAGAAATGACCAACAGCAACATAGAAGTTTTCCATATTATTTAAGAACAATAAGGCCACAGCCCCTCCCCTTGAATGGAGCCAACCACTATGGGTCTTTCAGGAAGAATGTGGTATTTCTCAACTGGCCAAGGAGGCATCTGACCCTCTGCAATTCTCCCTTCTCTTCTGCCCAACCACCCATGCACAAAGCTAGGGTGAGGCCAGCAAGGCGCCCCTACCCACAAACCTTGGGTGCAAAATTTAAGGTGGTACCAAAAAACTCAATATAAATAATATTTTCATGCAATATTTTTAGAAAAGTTAATTCAAAGAATCTATAAAAAAATATCACAATTTTCTTTTTAAAGATTTTATTTATTTATTTATTTATTTATTCATGAGAGAGAGAGAGAGAGAGAGAGAGAGAGAGGCGCGCAGAGACACAGGCAGAGGGAGAAGCAGGCTCCATGCAGGGAGCCTGATGTGGGACTCATCCCGGGTCTCCAAGATCACACCCTGGGCTGAAGGCGGCGCTAAACCACCAGGCTGCCCCAAAATATCACAATTTTAAATAGACAGGCTCAGTATTGTTGACTTTTTCCTTCCACCTCAGCCTCCAAATTGGCTTTGCACAGTACTGTTCCTGATCTTGTCTTTATTTAAAAGTTTCGTATTTTGTTCAACATGATTTCATCTTAATTTTTTTGAATACTATGTTAACATATTATTGGTCTCGACTGCAGAGCATTTTGGTGCCCTATTAAATTTACAGCTAGGGGCACCTCGGTGGCTGAGTGGTTGAGCGTATGCCTTTGGCTCAGGTTGTGATCCCAGGGTCCTGGGATCGAGTTCCACATCGGGCTCCCTGCAGGGAGCCTGTTTATCCCCCTACCGATGTCTCTGCCTCTTCCTGTGTATCTCTCATGAATAAATAAATAAAATCTTAAAAAAAAATTTTACAGCTAAGGCAGGTGGCTGCTGGCCCCCCTTGCCTTACCCTAGTCACAGTTCTGCCCATACATTCCTATATCACAGAGGTTTGGGTTTTCACAGTCTCCTCTGGCAACAGATTTTTTTGCACAGGGAACCAGGGAAAAGTCTCCTCCTTTTCCTGCTCTTCGCCTCTTTCTGCCAGTGGGCATTACAGCAGACGCAGAGCCCCACCACCCCACACCCATTTCTGAGAAGAGCTAGTTCAGCCATAGCAGCAATGTGGCATCACGCCCAAATCAGGATGCCAGGCAGCAGATGACAGACTTCACGGGCAGGCAGAAAGGCAGGAGAGAGAATAAACCACGCTGTTCAACAAGCAGCCAGCGCCATGGCAAGCCTAAAGAAGTATAGGATGTGTATGCACACTGTGGAAAAGGTACAGAGACACCCTTTACGGGGCCTGTTGCATATAAACTGCTAATGGCCCTTAATAATCATAACAGCAATAATCATGAGCATAACATGCCAAAACAGTGCCCACTCGAGGGGCGTTTACAGAACTGTGAAAGGAATAAAAGCAATACAAAGAAAACAACTAAAAAAAAAAAAAACCACAAACTGGAGCAGCAAACAAAATATGATTGAGTCTTCTAATGCACAGACAATACGTGACAGGTACAATCAGTAGATGAAAAAGCCCAATGAGTAATTGCTTCTGTAGGCCCCCTCTAAAATATCTTCAGGCTGCCCAAGTCATATTTCTGTACTAGAAATCTGATCGTGTCACTCTCTAGCTTGCAATCCTCTAGTGGTTGGTTCCCTGTTGTTTTCAAGACAAAACTCAACCCCGTAGCTTAGCACGCAGGACTTACTGGACCCATCCCCCTGCTATCTGTCATTGGAACCCTCATACTCCAACTCCAGCCAAAACAAACTACAGATAAGGTACGTACAGTCAGAAATCACTGAGTAGGGTCCATATACACTTGCAAATTTATCCCCTATACCAGATTATGTGACAAGAGAGTCCAAGATTGAGGGTGGAAGGGGAGTATTTGGTAGCAAGCACATAAGACAATATAGTCAGAACTACAACAGAGTTCATAATGAATACTCTTCATTTTTAAGGTTTTGTTCTGACTTTTCAAGTCTCCAACTAGAACAGGACTCAAAAAAATCTAACAAAACTCTGCTTTTTGTTGCTTTTTAGCAAGGGCTCTTTCATGTCTTTTAATAGTTTGCAAAACTGCTTAAGGGGAAAAATGGAATATCTAACTACTAATAATGCTTTATGCACAAATGCCCACTTCCAAAAAGAATCTAGGGGGATTGATACTATTCAAGTATTTAGTTAGGCTAGCAGAGAAAATAAATGTCTCAGAAAAGGGGGTCATGTAGTTGTCCACAGTTGGCTCAGACCTTGAGATTTTATATTAGGAATCATTAGTAACATAGGAATTACAGGTTCTGCTTTTTCCATATAAGCCTGTAGGTGGCAGCAAGTTATCAACATTACAATTTTAAGGTGTGGTTTGTTTTAGGGTAATCAGACGGGGGTGGGGGGATGGAAAATGAATACAAAGGGAGAACAGAAAGGTAGAAGTCAAAATCACTGGCAAAACATGACAATCATGACTTAGGATAATTATTAATAACCACAGCCACCCCCTCAGAGTGCATTCCGTATATATTCAAATCTGAACTAAGTGGTCCAAATATATTACATCATTTGTGTACAACACTGCTATGATGCAGGGATCCCCATCCCCATTTCCAGAGGGGAAGACAAGCTTAGAGATTAAGCAACTTGCCCATGGCAGCACTTGAATCCATGGTGGGGTTACAATTCTGAACCTCAACAGCTTGATGTGAAAGTATATGCTTAAAATCACTGATTTCTATAATACAAATGAAGAAAAGAGCAGGGAGCTGAAGCTCAAACTTGTATGATATCTAGAAGCAATAATAAAGACCCTGCACAGAGGAAATGAACCTGACCGACCAGATCAAAAGCAATCTCTTCGTTTCCAAATGTACAATTTCTCCAAACCTGGAGCCTTACAAGTTTTTCTAAGTATTATCCAATTTCCCATATGTTCAGTAAGAGTGCAATATTTATTGTAGAGGCAGAGTCTGGCTTTGGGAAGAAAAAAAAACTTCTCATTCACAACACAAGTTGGGAAACGGGAGCATTTTAACATACAATTCCTTAAAACTATAAATACTCCCAAAAAACAATTCTTGTTCAATCATTAATTTTAATGTTTCTCCTCAGAATCTCATGGGAAACCGTTTTTTTTTTTTTAAGATTTTATTTATTTATTCATGAGAGGCACAGAGACAGAGAGAGGCAGAGACACAGGTGGAGGGAGGAGCAGGCTCCACGGAGGGAGCCCAACGTAGGACTCAATCCCAGGTCTCCAGGATCACACCGTGGGCCGAAGGCAGCACTAAACCACTGAGCCACCGGGGCTGCCCTGAGAAACCATTTTTAAAAGAAGACAAAGAAGGACAAAATATGATTAATATTTGTTGAGATCTAATACACCAACCAGGGAGATTCACATTACCTCATTTTTGAAAAAACATCTTACAACCAAAACCTGATGAAAGGAGTATTATTTATTTCCACTGGGAAAGTGAGACCCTCTGCGGTTAGTCATTTGCCCAGAATCACAGGTGAGATTAAAATGTGGGTTTATCTGACTCCAAACTCTTGCTCTTTCACGTACACTTTTTCTTAGAGAAATTCCAATGAGCAGGGAGGACAAAGGGCAGGTGACAGAAGCCACGAAGGGCAAGCAGTAGGCAGAGGGCTGGGGCCTTCTACACAGGGACTTCCAACTTCCCCCAGGGTGGAAGAGCACATGTGGATCCCCAGCTGAAGTCACAGGTACCATTATCCAGCCCAAGCGACTAAAAATTGGGGATAATTTGTTCCTTCTGGTTATTACTATTCTGGCCACCTCCTTCATTCCTGTAGCTGTGCATACAGATAGTCCACCTGCCTCCCTTCCGAGGAGTTATGGAGCAGAGAGAGCTGGGAGCCCATTGGCAAGCCAACGGTCGGGCACCCAGGTGAGAGTCCCACTGTCAAGAGTGGGCAACAGGGAAGAGGAACAGAGACCAGGAGGACCATGCTCCCACAATCAGAGACCAAGAGACCATGCCCCCTCAATCCGAGGACACAATTAAATTTTGAACTTGAGATGCACTGAACAGCCAACCAGTAAAGCGGTCCTTATGGCATAGCGGTTTATCACTGGTAAACATGCTCCAAAACTTGCAAAATGGGTGTCAGGGGCTTAGAAAATCACACACTTCTCCTTCAGCAAAGTCTGCATCACAGACATTACATGCTGAGAAAAATAAAGCAAGACATGGATTATTGCCAGGTGAAAAGCAATTCTGGTTAAGTTAGATAATGCATGTGAAGATGTTTCTGGAGGTA